CCATAGCAATAAATCTGACTTGTATATCCAGAAACTTTACTTTCAATTCAGTATCTTCAGCTAAAGATCACAAGGAAATTGTTGTTGGAGTTATCAAATAGATCTAGAACTGTTTCCCATAGCACTGAAGGCCAACAAAAAAACGCAGCTAAGACATTCAGAGATCACAGCACTCATAAATAATACTGCTGTACTTAGTGTTTTCCAAATTTATTTCTTAACATTTGTGTTACTTATCAGACTACACAGTATTCTAGATAGCATTCTCTTTTTCAACTGAGAAATCAGTGTATTCAGAGCTCAAGATGTCATTCTCCCTGAACTCAGCAGAGAGATGTCTCATATTGGAAGCTTATACCTACAGATCATAAGCACAAATCACTTCTGAGCAACTCCTGGAAGTTCTTCCCACCCCAGTATGTTACTGGAAATAAGAATCTACTCTTTTAACTGAAAATATATCAAAGATAAACTCCATAACGCATATCTCCATGAAACCACATTTTACCTATTTAGCCTCAACCACATTTGACTGCAGTCAGCTTAGCAGTGTTTCCAGCCGTAAATACAAGGGCCACAGTTCAGCTTTTTTTGCTCTCTGAGAAAGTGAAGTTGGGAATTTACATACAGCATGTATCCAACCTTGTATTTTAGATGCAATACGCAAGTATTTGCATGCGTCTTCACTAATGACTTTGCAAGTTTTCAACTTTTTTTTTTTTAAAACAAGCACTTCTAGAACAAAATCAAAACTAAAGTTTATGTTGCATCATCTTACCCACAGTTAGAGGGCTGAGATTTAGTTAAAAGCCAGAGAATGAGTGGAACCGGGGGTGAGTGGAACTGGCTGCATCAAATCACTCAGTTTTAAGAAGGCATCTATGAACACTACTCAAAGTATTAAAAGAATCGGCCTGCAGAAATAATAATCTTGTTTTATTTATAGTTGAAGGTTATGGGAAATCTGCCCTGATATATATATATTTAAATACAACTTCCCAGATTAATTTTGGTAAGAGAATTCAAAGAATGAACAGCTATGGGAAAGTTTAAATTCTCATTAAATACACCTGAGTATCCTTGTTCAAAAATGGTTTATACTTGGTCACTCATTAAGCAACAAGTACTATAGTGTAGCTGCAATAAATGTTTGTGGTAATCTACAGTTTATTAGAAGCATGTACATCTGTAGTTTTCACATGTTTGTTATTTGTCACTTGTAATTACCATATTATTGAATAATTAAACTCAAGAAAAATAATCCATAAAATTACTTATTTTCTTAGACGAACTAATTAATGCAATCACTAACCTTTTGAGAAAAGGCCTTACGTACAAATCTGCTACACAAGCTTTTGAAATAACATCCAAAACTTCTTATCCCTTGCAGGGAAAAAAATATGATAGCAAGAGGATGCCTTTTTTGTGTACTTACTGCTCTGTCAATTGCTTGTATTAGAAAAATAATTTTGTCACTTCAGCTTGAGTTTAAAATCCTGTCTGTTCTGACTACTGAATCAGCCATGTGCAACATCAACAAGCAATAAGGAACTGAGCCTGAACCCCAAGATACTCATCAACCTTACAGAAACTGTTAAATCTGTGTTCTTATATGCCCAGTCATTCACCCTGCTGCTACACTTGTGATGGAATTCTGCCCCATACTAACTGAAGTATACAATACAGGTTGAGACACTTTTATCTGAACAGCCACAGTACTTCCCAACTTCATACAATTTTTACAGAAATGCTAATAGGTCTGAGTCATCCATCCATTTGATTACTCACAGAAATAGCACCTTAATAAGTAGCATCATACTCATTCTTTTTTTTCCTCCTTTGATAGGGGTAATGTTTTTGTTTTTATTCTTTGAGGAAAGTCAGGGAAGTTGAATCTTTACAGTAAATGCGTTATAAATATATGTTAAATATAAGTTATGCATTATAATTGCATATTCTCCAAAACATTCATGCTTTAGGTTCACCATTTTGAGGCAGCTTTCAGCTAGCCCCTGCAGACGTGGCATGCAGAGACCAGAGCCTTGAACCACAATTTTCATTGACAATAACAGTGACAACGGGAGCAAGTGTTCTAGCAGCCATCATGTACCAAAAAAAAAGGATGAGGAAAGGACACCTTGGTAATTCACTGAAGCAGAAATTTTATCTTCTCTGCACTACATTCAACAAATCCACCCCACACTTGCTGCTCCCTGCAGGAACTGAACAGACCTGAGGTAACAACACCAAACGATACAAGACATGGTCTGTATTATGCTAAAACAGACTGTGGTGCCCACCTGCATTGAGGTGCCTCAGGAAGGAATCCCTTTGTGTTGACTGCCTTAAGACATTCTCTTCAGGAATGCTGCAGCTACCTTCATCAGCACTGCAGGTAGGTTAAGTGCTGGTGTCAGGTGCCTGCCAGCTGGAATACAGCATCAAGGGGCCCAACTGCTCACTGTCTCCTCCATCACACTTTTAAAGACCTGGGCCTGGCCACTAATAAAGACAGTGATTTATTTATTCAGTAAAGCATGTTCATTAACCATTAGGAGACGCTAAGGCAGTATTTCATCTTAGGAGAAGCACATGGCATTGAGACATATTCTCTCTCATATGCATGCATGCACAGAAATAACTCTGAACATCTTACTTTCCTTATTAAGTTTTCTCTGTTATCATCTATTCTTGTTCCTATCTCTCATTCTTCTACCTCAGTCAAGAAGGCAACTGTGTGTTCATTTGACTAAATATGTATTTCTACACAGTTCACGTGTATACTATTTAACTGTTTATTTTCAAATACAAATATATTACATGTATACTTAATTCAACAGTGATGATTTAAACCTATAATGGAATGAAAGAATATCCCAAATTGGAAAGGAATCATAAGGATCATCAAGTCCAACTCCCAGCTCCACACAGGACCACAAAAAAAATTAATCAGACCACACATCTAAAAGCAGTTGTCCACACACTTTTTGAACTCCACTGCTGTAATCATTTTCCCAGGTAACCTGTTCCAGTGCCTGACCACTCTCTCAGTGAAGAGCCTTTTGCTGATATCCAACCTGAACAGCCCCATCACAGCTTCATGCCATCCCCTTGGATCCTCCTGCTATCACCAGAGAGAAAAGATCAGTGCCTGCCTCTCCGCTCCATCACATGAGGAAGCTGTAGGCCGCAATGAGGCCTCCCCACAGACTCCTCTTCTCTAGAAAGAACACAAACGAAGAGACTTCGGCAACTTGCCACTCATCCCCTCTAGACCATTCACCATCTTTGTTGCCCTCCTTCACTCTGAAGGAAACTCTGATAGCTTTATGCCTTTTTTGTACTGTGATGTACGCAGCACTCGAGGTGAGGCTGCACCAGTGCAGGGTAGAACAGGACAATCAATTCCTTTGACCAGACGGCAAAGCCATGCTTGATGCACCCCAGGATATAATTAGTCTTCCTGGCTGCCTGGACATACTGTTGATTCATCTTCAACTTGCTGTTGACCAAGACGCCCCAGATTCCTTTCAGCAGAGCAGCTCTCCAACATTTCATCCCCTAGGTCATCATACAGCCAGGGCAGCCCCTTCCCGGGTACAGAATCCAGCACTTGTTAAACTTCACACAGCTGATTGCTCAGCTCTAATTTTTCTAGATCTCTCTGGAAGGCCTCTCCACCCTTTGCAAATCAACAGCTATAAAGAAACATTATCCACTCTTCACTTCCATTTTTATTTGTCATCAACTTTAAGGACTATTACTGGAGTCAGCCAAGTTCCTGGTGTTTGGTTTTTAAGATAACAATTCTGTTAACTCACTTCAGGAGAAACATCCACATTACTGTAAGCACACAAGGCAGAAGGGCTCATGCACTTGGTTTGTTTAGATAGCCAGGCTGAAAGATACCAGAGATCATTTTAGCTTCTGACAGCATCAGCTTCGAGGAGATTGATGCCAACCCTAAATATCAATGTTAATCAGTTGCTCTTCTTCACAGCTTTAGGATGCTCATATAAACTGCTTCACTCAGTGATATCTAATTGGCTTTATAGACAAGAGAACTGGAGTGTTAGTTCATTTGCTCTTCATCACTTCTACCATCCAGTAACCTGAATTCCTCATTTCAATTACCATGCGTCCCAAGCTTAATTATTTCTGTCTGACACTGCCCGAGTGCTATATAAAGCAAACAACTTTTCTGGTTTTTCTACAACGATAGTTTTACAAACTTTTGTTTGTAAACTTACAAAGTTTTGACTGGACAGCAGTTAATTTTCTCCCTAGGGTACCTTTTGCTTTCTCTAATTCTTAGAGAAACCTCACCTGTAGCCTGGAATTTACTTTGCCAACTAATCTCATTATTGACACTAATACATATGGAGGCACAAGTAGCAACAGGACAGTTAATTGAGCAACTCACTGCTCTTCTGCCTCTTGCACTATAGCACCATTTGGAGATCAAGTATTTATTATTGTCAGCAAAGTCCCTCCTGCTGATACACAGAGAGTTTCCTCAGCTACTCTAATTGACCACAAATTAACTGGAATAGTAGCTACGTTACAAAGCGAGACAAATAATTAAGATAAGTGTTAGGCCCCAAATGACCTAAACAGCCTTTTTAGGAAAACATAAGCCTAGTAAATAAATTCTAGCTTACTCCACCAGCCCCACACTTCCTCCTCAGAGAAGCAAGAAAGATGTTTGGGCTCTGTGGTGCTTCGGAACCTCCCATATCCACGCAGAAGGGAGAAGTGCCTGCAGTTGCCTCGTTCAGAGTCAGCACTTGGCCCTACAAGTGACTGCAAAATCAGGACCGAAATAAACTTCCCCCAGCTGACAGAGCTCAGAAGCAGGCCTGTTTACCACTCAGACACATTCAGTACCATCATTCTACTCATGAAGAAGCAAAACTGCTTCTGATAGGCTTTTGGTGATACCAGGCAAAGAACTTGCACAGAGGCCAACAGTTGTACCCATGAAGAAGAATGGAACTCACCCAAATGGCAAAGGGGCCGTATGGCTATGCAGCGCTCCATCTCAGGAAGCAGCCTGGATCCCAAAGATGCTCTCCCTTCCTTGGCTAGCCCTTATATGAGCCCAGGGGAGGTCCACCCCTTCTGGTCACCTGGGGAGTGCAGGTGCAAACAATTTGCCTGTGCTCCCTGGGCCAGCCACAGCCTATCACCAGGTGCTCAATCACCAGTTCAAGCTGTGACCTCTACAAGCATGTATTCCCAGTTTTATGTACTGGTACACATGAACCCATAGTGTCAGTGGTGCTACTTTCCCTCCTTCTTCCTTCCCATAAACGCTGTTGTCATTTCACCTTATGTATGCCACAGTGTAACATGGTTCATGTGTTTCACCCTATTCAAAAGCAGTTAGAACAGCCACATCAGTTCTTTGGCACAAAGCTTAGGAAGGATACCCAGTGGTGCACTGCAGCAAAGCAACAGCCCCTTGTTACGCGTACGTAGATTCAATGGAAGACATAAAAAACTAGGCTATTACAGCATAACATTTTGTAGGAATTCCAAATTTAGACTTCCTAATGAGATGACCTGGGAAACATTTACCTCCCATTAATACGGACGTGTCCAGTCTGATCTTCCTTTTTCATAAAGTTGTTCTGTCTGTGTGAAATGCCTTTAGAAGAACAAGTTTCCTTTTGCTTAAAGTACTCTAAAAATATTACTTCCTAATAAGGATCTCGTTTGCATGACAAATTCTCTGTGCAGTGTCAGAAGCATCTTTAAATGAAGATGTCATGCTTAGAGGAGTTATTCTGCACACAGATATGAGTTCTCACCAAACCTTCCTGGTGACATGTTCATTTCATTTTCATCATCATGTGCTCTGACACTGATAAAAGAATCATAGTTTTTTCACCAGTAAGAATTCTTTGCTCATGTATTAACTCAAAGGAATGCCATACAGTTAAGTTCATCCCTGCTTTACTAGCCAAGTACTTGAAAGCAATTATTTACAAAGCTAAAAGGTGGTATGTGCACTGCCCATGTTATCCACTGTAGTTCTTACAGAAGTAATGCAACTACACAGGCTTTCTACATTACAGATTTAAACGGAAGTCTGTAAAATCACCGAGGCTTTAAAAATTGAGAAAAATAGTACAAACATCTTGTTTTTTAACTTGCAGTATCTGCTTTGAAAATACCAAAGCCAATATTCTTCAGCACAACACAAAAAAAAAAACAAAAAACAGGCACACTCACTGTGAGAGAGCCTATGTGCAAAGTTTCCTATCTTGAGAGAACAACTTTGAAGTTGCTTCCTCCTGAGAGACACCCAGGAAACATTACATCCATCAGGAAGGCTTGTCCCTGCCACAGACAGCAAGAGCAGTATGTCTTCAACCAGCCACAGGCTGAAAAACTTCCACTTAGCAACCCCGACTTTAAAGTTGTCTGCTTCACAGCATACACTGCGCTTATTTGGAAGCGTTAATTGGCATCAGAAAAGGCACTCTTCTTCAGGTATTCAAACATCACTACGTGCCTCTGACAGTCTCGAGGCCAGGCAGGCACATGGTGACATGGAGTGCAGGGAGCTTTCTGTCACGCTTCCCTGAAAAGGAATTGCATTGGATCTTCACATGACGTGACCAAAGCTTTATGGTGGAAATAAAAGGTGTTTCTTACTGCAGCTGAAGAGTCTGAGCATGAGACAAGAGCTGCACAGCAGACAGCTCCGAAGCAGTACGCTGAAAGTTTAGGGAATTAATGAACGAGTCATAAAAGAACCCCCAAATAGACTATTTCCACCATTGCTGGATGTAGTTTCACAGTTTTTATCTGCTGCAGTTTCCCACTTGAATCTGATATTAGATCTCTCTTTTTCATTCTCTTCCACCAAGCTTTTCCACTTTCTTACATAATAGCAAATACATCTTTTGTAGCCAAAGAGCATAGCTATCTGTTATGTAACTTACCTTTTTGGGGCAGCTTCGCATCTTATTTTTACTGATAAGGACTTCAATGAAACCACAAGCCGTAAGGATGCAAACAGAAGACAACTGTATCTAAACTTAAGCAAGCAGCTATGTTTATGCTACATGGAAAGTGATAAAGGTAAGAAATTTCATCTGATCAATAAGCATATGAGACTGACAATACTGAGGAAGCATATACAAACAAACTGAGGAAATACATACACAAACATCAACAAAAACAATTAACTGTTAGATAATGAGAGAGCAATTTAAGTGTGCCAAGCAGACGCATCACAGCTGAATTGGAAGCAGCCATATTCTACTTCTGAAACAGGCCAGGATATGTAGATGTGCCCCATATGCCCAGTTTCAGATGCTTCCCAGAGCCTCAGTGATTCTGAACAGCCTCCTCTGTGTAGCACTTCAAACAGAACTCAGAGAAACCTCATTCAAACCTCTAAAATCCTGCATCCCAGTAACTGCCCAAAAATTAAAAGCTATTTCTTTAGCTCATTCTACAGTTAATACCAAACGTACACAAATGTGATTTCCACCCTTCTCTGCCACCCACTGATTTACACAGGGGAATACTGGGTATAACAGAGAGATACCTTGGTTTAGCATTTATGCTCACCGACACACAGTGAGGTCATCAGCACTGGGTGCTATAAGCTTGCTGAAATGATGTAGCAGAGATCACGGAGCTTCTGACTGGCCAGCAGCAGTATTGCAGAAACCAGCTAAGCTGAGTGCTGATGTATTCTGATCCCCCCTGACTTTCACTATTCTGTTCTCAGCAGGATGCTTAGCTTCAGCACTATAGATTTCTGAAGACATACAGACTTATTTCAGATTTCAAGAATTAGAACATTAGCTGTGATTTTTTTTCCTACCAGTTGCATAGAATCATAAAATCATTTGCATTGGAAGGGACTCCCAAAGGCCAGCCAGTCCTACCTCCCAAATGAGAAGGGACAGCCACAGCTCCATCAGTGCTCAGAGCCCCCCAGCCTGACCTTGGATGTCCCCAGCGATGGGACATCCACCACCCTTACCGTCCTTATTGTAAATAACTGCCACTTAGGAATTAATATAATAGTGATGTACACTTTGCAATAACATTTAGAAACAAAAATGTACTTAAAACATTGGCTGTAAGTTTGATGGCAGCAATAATAGCACAAAGGGTACAGGTGTTGCACTGCAATCATCTCCTCACAGCATGTGCACTGAATGTGTAATATTTTAAGAAATGCAAATAAGATTCTAAAAAGCCATTAAGTTGTAATTGGATTTAATATAATTAGCTGCTTTCACTTGCAGTGTTATGCTGGAAAAAGGAGATAGCAAAAAAGAAACCTTGTGCATTCAGTCAGTGACTTGCATCAGTTCAAAGAGACCACGTAACAATCAGAAAGGTCAGACTTCTTCCTTCCATATGGTGCTAAGTGAGCGGCAGCACACAGCAGCACCAATTCTCTTTTTCAATCAGAGCAGCATTCTGATTTCTGCATGCTAAAAAAAGACCGAGAAGCTCTTCAGTCGGCGCTGAGCGCTCTGCTGCACGCCACAAAAACAGGCTATCTGGGAACCTGCAGATTACGAGCACAAAACACTATTAAGATGGTGCCAGAAAGATTTATAAGCAATGCAGGAGGGACCTTGAAATTTCCACTCGTTCAGGCTTTGGCTCGTGCCAAGGAGGAACTCTCAGCCTCAAAGCAGATGAAGCTGAAGTCACTGCATCCAACACGCAGTCGTGGTGCGGGAGAGAACCTGCAGACGTGCCACAGAGAAAAAGCACATGAAAGGCAAGCTTTAAGCATCTATGTGGGTACGAGAAGCGCGTTCAATGCGCAAGTCTGCGGACCTGCCGCTCCCCGCTGCGCGTAGCGCCCCACGCCCGCGGGCGCGCAGTCTGCGGACCCGCTGCCTGGGGGCGCTCCCTAATGGCGCCCCGCCCGCCCGCTGTTATAGCGCCGCCTGGCGGCCGCGCCGCGCACACAACCCCGCGGCTCCGGGCCGCATCGCACCGCAGCCAGCACGGCGCTGAGCATCCGAGCTCAGGTCTGAGCGGAGCAGCACCCGATGCGCGTTGCGAGCCTACACGTGTAAAAACCCGTCTTCGCAGCCAACAGCACCATGGGCTCCTGGCAGAGCCTGGGCTCATCTTCCTTCATTGCGAGCCAGCTTCAGAATGAGGTCTCCAAAGTGAGCAAGGTTTAGCATCCAGTCTTCTGTTTTGGATCTTTAACAGAAAAAAAATCTATGAGTTTTTTTTTGTGTTTTGTTGTTGTTGTTGTTTTCTGAGTTTGTTTTTTAACTAGCTTTTGAATATTTCAAGTTTGATTACAATCTTCTACAACAGAAGATCATTCAGAACTGATAACAAAAAGGATGAGGGAAGTATTCATCCCTCAGTGCCTTCAAGGGGAAAAGGGGGACCACATCCATACATATTTGAAAGGAAGATACTTGGCTGAAGAATAGCAGAGCTGGCTCCAGAGCAATCCAGCTGCACACCGCAGCAACCAGCCTGCCTGTATTTTCTGCCCATGCTTTAAATGGGTGCAAAATGCAGGCTCAGTAACTCGTAGTCAAGTATGATGGCAATGGTGTATGTGCTCATTGCATTGCCCAGTGAAAGCAGGGAAATGCCAGCATCACTAAGGGGAGTCTGAACCACAAAATCTTTGAAATAATTTTTTTTTAAATGGAAGCATTGGTTTATCACCAGCAAAATAGGTTCTATATAACCTAAGCAAAGAAACAGAAAAGATGGAAACTAGCAGACGTGGCTAAAAGGCTGCACCAATGTAAGCTCTGCAATGGGCAGCACCAGTTTCTCACTAAGACTTTATGTTGTAAAGAATTTTTGAACAACTTTGAACATCTCTAAATTACATTTTTTATCAAATGAGTCTTTTTACTGCCGGTAGCAACAGGATGAATTAAACCTGAAAACCTGCACAGCTCAGTACAGACCTTCATGGTTTGTGCCACACCGCTTCCACAGCATGAGCAGAATAAACTTACAATCCACCTAGACAAGCATCAGTGTATTTGAGGGTGCAAAAATCCATTTTTTAGGTTTTATGTGTGTAAAAAAATTCTCTGATATAGGCAATAATATCAAGTTCTTCTCCTGTTGTCTCACTCTCTGGGTATAACCACCACCCACAAATATTTTATGCTAACAAGCACATGCAGATCAGCTTCCTGCATTGTTTATACAGCAATGGAAAGAGCTGCAAACTGAGCTCAGTGCCCATCAGGGGT